CCCCCCCGCCCGCCGCGTTGCATCTTGCGTGTCCCTGTGTCCCTGTGTCCCCCCGGTCTCTTGTGCCTTGCTCACACTGCGCTCGGCACGATCGAGGAATGCGCGCTGGGGGCTGATTCGGCGGGCTGGTGCAACCCCCCCCGGCGTGCGGCGCCCCCGTTCTGGACACACCCCAAGGGGGTGTGCGGGCATTCCTTTCATCGTGGACAAGGAGGCAGGGGGGGGGGGGCAAGTAAGTGTGGAGGGTGTGTGTGTCTCTCTCCCCCCTCTCTCCCCCCCTCTCTCTCTCTCTCTCTCTCTCTCTCTCTCTGTCTCTCTGTTGGTCGCCCTAGTCGTGGCGATTGACAGGCGCTTTAATGCGCCCCCCCTGGCCCGAGTCGCCGCACAGAAGGGCCCGCCAGCCCGAGGCGAATGCGTGTGGCCGGGGCTGTAGTCAGCCCCCCCCCCTCAAGCTTGAGCCCTGGCGCCTGGGCGGGAATGCCCCCAACTGATCCGGCCCGGGCGGCGAGATCCCTGTTCCCCATCTCCTGGGACGCGGGAGATCCCGGCCCCGCCCCCGGGGGCCGGAGCCACTGGTGGACTCTTCGGCTGGAGGTATCCTCGTGGCTGGCCCCGCCCTCCTCGCCCAGTCCAGACTCTCCCCTATGACTCTCTCTCTCTCTCTCCCCCCCCTCGCCATCCCCTTTCCCCCTGTCCCTGTCTCCATTCTCTCCATTCTCTCCATTCTCTCCATCCGCTCCATTCTCCCCCTCCCCTCCCCCTCCCCCTATATCCCCCCACCCCTCCCGTCCCCCCTCCCTCGCCCCCCAATCCCCCACTTGTCTCCCTTCCCCCGAAAAAGAGGCGGTTGCGCCTCCGCAGTGATGGGTTCTCCTTTTTACACATCAGGCGACCCGGCCACCGGCGTCCCGCCTTGTCCGACGCACCCTTCGACGCCCCTGCCAGCGCGACAGCGCCCCTCTCCGACGGACGGGCAGTCCCATCGGCAGCCCCCCGCACAGGGCGGTCTCTTCCCGCGAACGCCGCTGGCCGCATCGACCCCCGGGCAGGCCGGGCCCGATGCCTCTTCGACGGGCCCCGGGTCACCGCCACCCATGCCGATGTACCGCCGGGCCATTCGCGATCTGGGACCGCTGTTTTCCGGGCCAGATCTGGCCGCGGCCGAGCTCCTGTCGTTGGATGGTGCGGCCCCCCCGCTGGATGCCTCGGCTCCGGACTCCCCCTCGCTCAAGTCCCTGCGACCCTTGCACAGGATCTCCTCCATCCGAGTGTCCGGTGTGTCGGGCGCATCTGGCCTGTCGCGGCGTCCCCTGTCACAGTACGTTGTCTCTCCTCGTCCCTTCCTGCCGTGGCCTCGCCAGATCCTCTTCTCCCCACTGCCATTCATGCGCTCACGCCCCCCTCTCCCCCCCCCCCTCTCTCTCTCTCTTCCTCCCTCCACTGTTCTGCCTGCTCAGTGGTCAGGACGCGTCGCGCTATCCGAGCTGGTTGAGGCCCAATCAGCCATCGCCGTTGCAAATGCAAACCCTCTATGCGGCCTGCAGTAGTGGCGACGTGCATGTTGGTACGTTCTCAGCGCCTCCATCCTAGCCACTCCTTCCTCGCCGGCCTGGGCGGCTGCCGGGACCGACCCTTCCCTCACACATATGCGCACGCGCGTGTCGTCCCGCCGGTTCATCCCC